AGACAAACCGATCGTTCGGTTGAATGAAACTCCTAATGTCAGTAGGGAGAATAATGGGGAACCGAGTCTAATTCTCGCAAGTGTCACTTCGCGATTAATTCAATCCTTCCTCGCGCCTCCGACGTTTAGCGTAAGGGGAAATCAAGCTTGCGACAACGCAGCAAACATTTTGATATCAGCGCCGTTCGCGAAAGTAAGATGTCTTCTAAAAATGTTAGTCAATTCAGAATACAAAAATCACGCGAAAGTAAAGTCTTATTTATTTGTATCATTAAAAATATATATTCACGCGCGATTTATATCTGCGACGCACCGATAAACTCTTAACGTAACGTTTTACGTAGAGATTTCGCAAATGAAATAATGCACAGTGTTATATAGTTTACATTGTCCATTCCCTGAATGTTAATTAGAATTGCGCAATTCTGATCCTTATCCCTTGTTATCGAGTATGCATTGCCATCTTTTCACTCATCTGATATACTCTATGTCTTGTATAGCCTAGTCCGTAATGGTAACCCAGTCGCCTTCTTCGTAAAGATCGCAGCCAAGTCGCGTTCGCGTTTATCTCTTGTAACATACGCGAAAGAATCCTTTCCTCGGAATTCGAATTGATAATAGCCAAATGACCTAATCACGTGTGAAATACGATGAAAAATCCTCTCTGTTAATGTTTCTAATTTCTCTGATACAAGCGACTTTGAGCTAATTATACAAATACACGTAATATTATCCATTCAATGACGATCCTTCAATATACACGGTATATCATGAATTATTTTCTTTATCTCCGTTCTGGATATAAGTCTGGCGAGCCTTGTTCCAAGTAACTTGGTGAGGGTAAACCCTGTGCGTGCTCGTACTATCAAATGACAATTTAGTCCACTCGTTCATGATCACGGATTTCTTGCTCGACTCCTCTAACGGATAAATAAATAAAGTCGTTCAATACTCCTCGAGTCACATAAAGCAGTCTCTTAGTCTAGAAATACTTATTTATTTATGTAATACATCTTATCTAAAAAAAAAGCAAGTAAATCTCGGGCAAATAAGTCACGGGAAATCCCACGAATGTCAACATGTCTGATAAGTTTCACTATCTTTGAGGAAAAATGGTCTGGATAGGATGTTTTCCCGCCTCTAAATCGAAAACACCAAGCGGTTGCAAAATTAAAAAGAAAAAAAATAGTAGGATAAAAAGTTTAAATTTTAAAAGACTCCGTACGTTTTGTATTCTCTTTTCCGAAAAAAAGATCACTAAATGTAAATTTACCTGCAAACCGTATTATTTCGCTTATTTGGATTATTACCTGTGCTGTTTTGCTTATCTGAATTTAGCAACGAGGCCGGCGGACACGGCAAAAAATATTCCGGCGGCTTTAGACCGATGTCAGTGTCAGTTTAAGCGTACACATCGTATCCTCGAATTTCGCACGAAAAAACGAGAGCAATTAGGTGATGCTTGAACATTGTTAAACTTTGTTGCTGTCGAGCACTTTCGTGAAGCAATGTCATGACGGATGGGGTCGACGTTTATCTTTTATTTATGCTTATTCGATAAGATAACAGAGTCGGGTCATGAACGAAGACTAAATTAAACGCTGATTCGTCTCTGCGTGACAAATAAGATACACAGATGAACGTATCAGAATTGCATACGAAAAAAGATTTAATAAGAGAATTAAGGTCGGCATGCTTTCGTTTGTTTATTTGTATTGTGATATAAATATATATAAAATTATACAAAACTAATGAGCCCGGAACGTTATATGAATAATAAACGTCTGCCTTTTACATTCATACAGTGAG